AACAATGGAGGGATGCCAGATATCCCAGTGTTTGCCTGGGCTTGGAATGGAAGGCCAGATACCTAAGGTTGTTAATATAAATTCAAAACACTCTTTCATTTGGACTTCCAGGATATGAGTAAAATCACTTTTCCACACCTTTATGTTTGAGGGATTTGGGATTTCTCTGGTGAAAAAAGCATTATGTCTCTTTTTATCTCTTAGCATTATTCTCTCATTTACCCATTGTCTCTTGCTAGGTTTCTATATCGCTAATTTTATTTCCTTTTATCTATTCCTTTCTTTCCCTCTCTTCACACTTTTCCCCATTCATCCTGTATTTCCATCTTTTACCTCAAATCCTTTTTAATTACCTCTGTCCTTTACCTTTCCTTCCAGCCTTTCCTCTCCCCCACTTTTTATTTCACTTCCCCTAATTCTCTTACCTGCCAGATTTTTTCTTGAAATTAAAGAAGGGGTTTGGTATCCTTTATAACAGACTGATTACCAGAGTGAACTTCCCAATTCCCCTTTTCTGCAGCTAAAGAGTAACCAAAGGAAAACATTCTTTTGTAAAGCTTTCACCAAGTCAGGAAAAGAGATCCAGAACACAAGACTTTCTGACTACCACAAGGCTCTTTCTTATGGCTGGTTCCTTTTGTATCCTCAGAATTAGTACAGTCTCTTGCCACTTGACTGTTCCACTAGTGTCATTAAGTGCTGACTTGGCCTGAGAAGTAGAGGAAGAGAAGGGAATTTTGACAGGATATCTTTTTTTGTCACTTTACAGCTGGGCAACTTTACACATGATCTCTCTAGTCCTATCATATCCTTGAATTTTGTAGTATCTTCTCATCAACTCTCTTCTCATTTTTCCCCTGTAAGCTGAGTCCTCTGTTGAAAATGTATATAACTCTTTTAAAATTGTACAATTCCATTGGTGTAGAAAGTTGTTGTGTGTCTGGAATGTCCTGCCTATTATGTAGGATTCTAATGTCATTATGATCTCTTCCATTGGTTAATTAATTGTGTTTTATGTACTTGGGAGTAGGGCAATTGGAGTCATTATGCCAAATAGTAGGTGTAATGGATTTGCTTCACCAGCAAATGAGCCTTGTAGTATGTGTGAGGAGACATACCTTTAGGATCATATTATGAGTTCTGAGGCATAGACTCTGCTCCTTCAAGTACAGAAATAGCTCTGAGGCAGCCTGTACCCTAGACAAGAGCCCAACTATTTAAAACACAACTCTAGTTTTAGAGACATGTTATTTGCTGATTAAGCTTAGGAGCAAATTGTGTCTTTTGGTGAATTGATTATAGTGTTGATTATTACTAAATGATGCTTATAGTCTCTTTTGAAAATGGAATGTTTTTGGATGAGTGCATTGGCCTTGAGTATATTGAACCCATCAGTTCTTCAGGGATAGTTCTGGAATGTGAGAAATCAACAAGATATGAAGTATATTCAGGGAGAATCCAGGACTGCCTGAGTGCAGAGAATATGGTACATATGGAGGAGGTAAATGCCTTATCTCTCTGTGAAAGAAAAGAAATAGTACCCTAGGCTTCAGTAACCAATTCATTATACAAATATATAAAATCTTGTGTAGGCTTTATTGATGATGTCTCCACTAGGGTCAGGCACGCTCACGTAGAGTGGGACTTTGATGACTTACTGATATGGGCTTTACTAGTCTGGAGTAGGCTGCTTTGCCTTGTGCTCTGAGACACGCTGGCATGAGTGGGCCAAATGAGCTGCAATGAGATAAACAGGGCTTATGGAAGCAGAAAACAAGAAACTTGGAAGGGGGATAGCTTCATTTTCTGGGTATCCATTATGATTTGAATGTTTGTGTCTTTCCAATATTCCTATGTTGAAACTTAATCCTCACTGTGATAGTGTTAGGAGGTGGGGGCCTTGAAGTTCTGATTAGTCCATGAATGGGATTAGTGCTTTTATAAAAATGGCTTAAGAATACTTCCTAGCCCCTTCCATTAGGTGATGATACAGAAGATACCGTATATGAGGAATGGGCTCTCAGTTTTGTTGGGGTCTTGATTTTGTATTTCCCAGCCTTGAAAACTGTGAGCTATAAATTTCTGTTATTTAAAAATTATCCAGTCTAAGGAATTTTGTTATGCCAGCAAAAATGGACTAAGACAGTATTATTTTGCCACATGACAAATATGTGATGGGATTCATCCATTAATACAAAAAGTGTTTAGTGGACACCATCTGAGTAACAAACCACTATTCTGTATGTTGAGGGTATAGAGATAAAACAGGGATGCTGCCCTTCAGAAGTTCTTGGATTAGGATAGTATAATAAAGAAAAAAATTAATGTAAAGAGAATGTATCATGTGATATCAATTATCTCCAAACCTCAGTCACTCAACAAAAATGTATTTCTCATTCATGTAAAGTCTCTTGCGGACCCAGACTACTCACCAAGGCAGTTGTCCTCCATAGCTCGTCACTCCATACTCTTTTGATCTTATGGTAGCACCACATCAAATATGTTTGTTTCCATGATCTCTTCTGCATAGAGGACCTTGCATTAGACCTTAAATTTTCCAGAAAGAAAGGGACACAATACTTCCTCCCACAACTTGAACCAGCCACATCGCTCCTCTCTACTTTATGTGAGCAAGGGAGTGGTAGTAAAATCTACTTAGGTTCCTAGAAGTGGGAGAGATCTGGATTTTGCAACATTTGTAACCTAACACAGGTAATGGTAAACCTAGTGAGAGAACCCAACATGAGTGAATACTAGGGATCTCTAAGTGCCCTCTCTAAATTATGTTGCTTTGGGAATCTGGTGTAATTTTCAGTGCTACCTAAAAAGATACTGTTATGGTTTAACTATGAGATGTCCCCCAAAAAAGCTTATGTGTAAGAAAATGCAAGAAGGTTTAGAGGTAAATTGATTTGGGTTATAAGAGTCTAATCCCAATGGTTTAAATATGTGGTAACTCAATTAAATATGTGGTAACTCAAGGCAGGTAGGGTGTGACTGGAGGAGGTAGATCTTGGGGGCCATTCCCTTGGGGTATATATTTTATCTCTGTTGATGAATTCTCTCTCTCTGCTTTTTGGTTCCATGTCCCTAGATGCTTTCCTCCAACATACTGCCTTGCCATGGGCACTGAGAAATGGAGTCAGCTCTCTATAAATTGAGAGCTCTGAAAACATGAGCCCCCAAATAAATTTTTGCTCCTTAAAATTGTTTGTGTCAGATCTTTTGATCGTAGTAGCATAAAAGCTGACTAAAACAGAAGAAATTGATACTGAGAAGTGGGGTTGTTGCTGTACTAAGCTGAACAAGGTTTGGGGGATTTTTGGAATTTGTGGGAGGAATTTTAGAAAGTTTAGCAATGCAAGCTGGAAAAGTTTAAGATTGTTATAAGTGGATTTGAAGAGGGAATTCTGGTGAGAGCTAAGAAGGCCAGACTGTAGGCCATTCATATTATGTTCCAGCTGAAAAGATATTTTGCTCAAGTCCTGAGATTTCTGTGAGATTGAATTTAAAGATGATGGACTTTTAATCTGTGAGATTGAATTTAAAGATGATGGACTTTTAAATTTCTAGGCAGCATAATATTCAGGCAATGGTGTAGATATTACTGGCAAATTTCAGCCAAGTTTATTGTGATAATCAGGAGCAGAAAGATTTGAAAATCTTGCAGTTTGTCCAGAAAACTGTGAATAAAACTGGGGCTATTAAAGATGTAATGAATGTTAAAGACATTACAGACACTAAAGAAATGGTAAAAACTTTACCCAGAAACAATAGGACAAAATGGCTTGAGGAAATCTCAGGTTCGAGGGTATAAAAGTAAAAATTTCTTTGAGCCCAGTGGGGCACCCTACTTGCATGGGTAGGGGCAAGAATTTGTTTCACCAAGTGCATCCACCAAGGCATTCAGAGACTGCTGCTGTAGTTTCTGGAGGCTTGGCTACTGCTCAACATAGCAAAAGACTCTGGCATCGACCACGAGGTGCTGGTTCTGCAGGATTACAGGATGCTGGAGTTAGGGGGTCATGGAGGCTTCCACCAAGATTTCAAAGGGAGGCCTGGGAGGCCAGGCAAAGTGCAATGGGGAGGAGTGCCTATGGGCTGCCCCTGAGAGGGCAATGCATGGAGATGAGAGAAAGAAGCCAAAGCTGCTGGAGACCCCTGAGATTATGAAATGACAGTAATGTGGGAAGTCTGCTGAGGAAAACTGCAGGAATCAAGCAGAAACAAGCCAACAAAGAGGCCAGGTAGGTTGCAACCAACAAGGCCACAGGGGCAGAGCTACACAAGCCTTTTGGAGAGTACATCATTATCTCCTGTGCTCCAAATAGCACACATGGAACTAGAAGACTTGTTTGCCCAGATGTATTTCAGTCTTACTTTGGTCCTATCCCAACTTTCTATGCCCCCATTTCTTCATTTTGTAATGGAAATGTTTACTCTATGCCTTTATATATTAGATATTTGCAATTTGCTTTTGATTTTTATAGGAGTGCACAATGAGAGATTGCCTTGAGTATAACAGGCTAATTTGGACTTGGACTTTAGGACAGTTCTAAAACTGTTAAGACTATGGGGACTCTTGGAATGGACTGAATATATTTTGCATTATGAAATGGCCTTGAATTTTAGGTGGCCAGGGATGAGCTGTTATGGTTTAGATATGAGGCTTCCCCCTTGGCCTCTGAGGGATGGAATGGAATCAGCCATCAATGGTCTGAGAACTCAGAAACTGCAAGCCCCAAAATAAACTTTTTCTCCTTAAAATTATTCTTGTCAGGTGTTTTTTTCATGGCAAGAAAAACAACTGACTAAAATAGAAACCTACTTTATGCCTGTATCTAGCATGTTCTCTGTGAAGTAACAGGACAGGTGAGAAGTTCTTGAGGGGTTTTTCCTGAGTGTGTGAAACATCTTTTCTCAGAAATAGCAAGTATTCTCTCTGATCTAAGGCAACACTCTTTCATGATATTCTGCTTTTTTTACTTTATTTTGCTCAGATGCTGTGACTGAAGTGAAGACTGACATCTATGTGACCAGTTTTGGCCCTGTGTCTGACACGGACATGGTAAGTTTACTTCCTAGGAAGATAAAAATGAAAAATGACGCAATAGGTTTAAGAAAACAAATTGGTATTTTCTTACAGCAGGGCCTTGTAGCTGTGTTCTGAGGAGAAATCTTGTTTCACATGAATTTTGTACCCTCACTAGTCTAGGTTTAGCCAAATCCATCTTTCCCCTGCTAGCCTTACCATTCACAAATAAAAAGTACAGACCCACAGCAGGCGAATCTTTGTCTTCTTCCACAAAATACCCTTAAAAACTTGGCGTGGCTCCCTATCTGCAATCAAATTTTCTCCATCCTTTCCCTTTATACTTTACCAACACCATACATATACTGCTACAAATAGATAATGTGAGGAGAGCATTTTGGTAGGGATTCTTGCATAAGCAGCCAACAGTGTCATCCAAGAAGTCTGTTCTTTGCAACTGAGTTTAATTCACTGAGGTCATGAATTGACTGGAGTGATTCAAGGAGTTTGGAGAAAGCGTCTAAACCACTACTGGATACTGATCCTTCTATATATGTAGGCAGGATGACACCTTTGGGATAGACTTAAAGAATATGGCAGGACATAGCAGAGTTAGCAAGGAGATGATCATGAGCCATCTGCAAGAAGTGCTTCTTCTCCCATCATTCTCTCTTACTGCCAAAGCAAAGAATACTGTGAGGCATCGAGGTGAGACATTTCATACTAATAGGCCACACATCAGTACCTACTGATATCAGATATTTGATCAAATCATCATATAAACAAAGAAGCAATTATTTCCTTTGTATGCCTGGCAGTTATTAGATGCTAAATGTTTTGAGAATAAAAAATTTAATATCTGGGAAAGTATGTTCTCTCTCTCTCTGTATATATACAGAATGTATATATTCTGTATTAAGAATATATATATTCTGTATTAATATATAATATATATTCTGTATATATATATATATATATATATATATATATATATATATATATATATTCTGTATTACTCATTTTGACCTAATGAGTAAATACAAGCATTTGAATAGGGAAGTGGTAGAGTTTTTCCTGTATGTAATGCAGAGCCACTAAAGAGATTTGAGTAGGATTGTGAAAATATAATAATCTTGTTTTAGAATGACTTATGTAGTGGTCTATGTAGAATGGACTGCAAGGAGGAAAATGTGGCTGAAAGCAAATTTAGACATACTGATAAATACATGGCTCATCCATTAGGAGTGAAGTCTAGGAGTCAGAAAAGAAGATTAGTTCTCAGGAAGGGAGGTTATTAATATGTATATATTTCTGATCTGGAATGTCTCCTGAAAAGTTCATGCTTTGGAAACATGGTTCCCAATACAGCAAGGCTCAGAGTTCTAGGCACTTATTATCAGTGAATTAATCCCTTTGATGAATTAATAATTTGAATGAACTGCAGGGTGGGGCATGCCTTAAGGAAATAGATCATTGAGTGAGGACGCCCTTGGCGATTATGTTTTGTCCCCTCCTCTCTTTTTCTCTGTCTCTCTCTGTTGTCTGTCTTGTTTTTCCACCGCATCGACCCTGGTTGCCATGATCTGAGCATTATCTGAGCAGTTTTACTTCACCACATCATTTTCACCATGATGTTCTACCTCACTTCAGTCCCCAAAGCAATGGAGTTGGCTAACCATGGAATTAATCTCTGAAATCATGAGCCAAAGTAAACTTTTTTTTTCTCAAAGTTGCTCTTACCAAGTATTTTGGTTATGGGGATGAAAAGCTAATACAGTATGTGAGTGGTTAAGGGTAAAGTAGACTCCCTGTGAACTCCTTGACAGCAAATGCTGAGTCTTCATGGTTTCCCAGGCACTTATATCATTTGACACTTAAGGAGAGCTCAGTAAATGGTATGATCAATGAATGAGGAATGAAAAAGATGATTATCTCTTAGGGAAAGCAAGGAGGCCCATATGTCTAGATTGCCCCCCTCTCAACCTGTTATCTAGCTTCGGACTCAGGAATGCATTAAAGTTGTACCAGTTGGCCATTCAAGAAGTACTCTTTAGGAACTTAACTCTACATTAAAGGATGCTAGTGGGCGGGGGCTGTAGCTCAGTGATAAAACACTTGCCTTTCATGTATGAGGAACTAGGTTCAATCCTCAGAACCACATAAAAGTAAATAAATAAACATATTATGCCCATCTACAACCAAAAAATATTTTTGAAAAAGGACATTAGGGAAACCAATATTCAGAGAGTTCATAGGCCATCAGGAACAACTGATTCACCATGGATATGCACCCTTTTTTTTTGAACTGCGTCAAATTGATTATGAATTAGGATTTTTATTAAAAAATTACCAAAAACTCCTCTTTTAAAACACACACATTCATACAAATACTCTTATTCTCACTCGTGTGCCAACATCCGCAAATACATTCAGACAAATATATACCACAGGCTGGGGATGTGGTTCAGTGGCAGAGCACTTGCCTAGTATGTGTGAAGCACTGGGTTTCATCCTCAGTACACATAAAAATAAATAAAATAAAGGTCCATTGACAACTAAAAAAATTATAAAATGTATACCACAAATGCATACAGAATAAACACCACCAACACACTCTAAGACATTCTGTAAGCATACACATGAAAATAGGCATCTAAATCTAGTGATACCAGTGAAGCACATCTGAAGTTCTTCTCCCTCCTCCTCTTCCACCCATGGATGTGATAGGCCCTGGAGACATTTCTAATAATCCAGATTTTCTCTCTCTCTTGGAGTTTTATGTTTCACTTCTTTGTTTTTCTTCATCACGATTAAGCCAAAGTAAGAGGATAGTTCTTTCCCTATTAGGGCTGGCTAGGTCTTGATTTGTTTCTAGCCAGAGCGTTTTGGTCCAAAATATTTTCCTAAAGAAATAGAAGTAGTATTTTGTTCACAAAGAAGGAAACTTGTAGTGCCAGTTTCAGCACTGATTCATCACCAACCATAATCTTTTGCACCCATAGCATTCATTGACCGAACACTGGCTTCCTTCCCACAGGTACAGCTTCTTAATTTGACAGAAAGCACCTTAAAATTATGGGCCATGTCTATTTTGTTCATCTCACTCCAGTCAGAATGGCAGTTATCAAGAATATAAGAAACAATAAATGTTGGCAAGGATGTGAGGAAAAGGCACACTCATACATTGCTGGTGGGACTGCAAATTAGCACCCCTACCAGTGAAGTCTGGCCTTTGGAAAGTGGAGATATTTTTCATGGTCTCCCAAGATCCTTTGAATTAGAATGTGAAGAGTGGGAAACAGGCTGAGGAATAGTATTTTGTGCTCATAGCCAATGATTGGAATGAAAGGTAGAAAAAACAGATGACAAAAAAAAAAGCGTGCTCTTCTGATCCAAACCAGCTTCTTTCTTAGCTTCCATCCTAGCTGTCAATATTCTGAGTCCCAGGCACTGTTCCACATTTTCTCCTGATCCTTGGACAAACAGGAGGTTTAGGGACCCAGGATCCTGGGTTTTGTATTCAAAAGATAGCTATCTGAAGATACCAATAGAACTAGTAAAAAATATAGAGGACAAAGAGGAATCATGTTAGGAGACTCAGGGAGAGAAAAACTAGGAAATTTAAGATGCCAATTCTAGGTAGTTTAAACTTACCTTCTCCTCAAGGATATTTAACTATTTAGATCCTACTAAGATAAAAACTGCTAGCTATAACTTATCAACAGAGAAAATTCCTAGGGTATATAATGGACACCCAACTATTGATATAAGGAGATAATACAATATAAGAACTAACCATCTAGCTTAATGAGAAAAATGAAAAGGAAACTTGGGAAATGAGAACCCATAAAAGACATTATAGTCATAATTCTTGAAAACACATTCAGGTAACATACATTCTGGTCCGGCAACTATATATGAAAATCATGTGAAGTTATCAAAATAGCCTAACACTGTACAAGAAAAAATTGTGTTAATTACAAAAAAAAAGTAGCACACAGATCTCTCTCCTGATGGTGGTTGAATGAGAATTAGTGTACTTGTTTTACTCCCTAACAGCAAAACAAGTGGCTATATTCTTTTCAAGTCTCCTTTAATGGCAGTCTGAGGCCAAGAATGAATTGGTCTATTTTGAAAACCTCTTGGGCTGTCAATTTTCTCTTATTTCATAGCGTACATACACCTGAAAGAATGATGTGGATTCATGACTCCTCAAAATAGATAATCATGGAAACAAGACAAATTAGCTGAGGGGAAAGGGAAGATCAAAATAAGAGAGTTCTGCGAAATAAAAAAAGCAACAACAAAGCCTTCACTGTAATGCTAATGTTAATGCACTTTGGTCTAATGTTAAGTACCTTGGTCCTCACACTCTGCTAAAAATGAATGAGCCTCTCAAACTTTTTCTGAGACTTGCTTTGACATATAGAATATTGTTGGAGACTGGAAGTCATTCAAGTTCCAACATCAAGATAGAAATGGTTCCTCACAAGCTAAGTGTCATCAGTGCCTTGTATAGGAAATGTATTAAGTGCCTTTCCCAAGAGGCAGACTTAGGCTTATTATCTGGAAGATTTGATTTAAATGCCTCACAAAACAACAGAATCCATTTGTCAATTTGGAGGCAATCATCCTTGGAGAGTATACAAGGGCTCAATTTGCAAGGAAGGAATTGATTGCATTTTTAGAATGGTTAGGTCAAAATCTGATTGCTTTTGGCCAAAGGTCATAGGTTGCTTATGGAGTAAATAATCGTGATGTGATTTTCCCCAGTATTTTTTACTCTTTAGAGAATAAAATATAAAAAAATAGGTACCTATCAACCAACTTTTAAAAAGATTAAATAGATTGGAGTATAAATTCTTTAAAAATGTACCACATTTCTTTTTTTGAAAACTAACCTTTAAAGAAACAGGTGGCATCCCTCTGAATCTTACTTGATTCCATTCTCCTTTCTCTTTCCCTCCTCAAAGATAATTATGATCATGAATTTGCATTTTTCTTTTTGATGTTATAAATGTGCTTCAGACTAATTA